ATTGTATTTTTTCTAATGATGAGTTTCGTTCGTTGTCTATATTTAACTTGGAAGCAATCTCTTCGATGTTAGTTAGGTGGATAAATATAATTTTATATTCTCCTTTCTTCGTTTGTTGTTGTTGCGCCTAATTGTCTGAATATTCCTGTTTAGTCTGAAAATTCAGACTCTGATTTCGCTCTTTTTGAATTTGTCAATTCCGTCTTCCTTTTACTAATCTACAGTGTGTGATTTCATTTGACTCATAACAAAAAAGTTGAAGACTTTTGGTTTTCGCTACCCAAAGTTGATTCCTTTCTTTCTCTCTTCCGTTATTGAACAGAGTTAGTTAGATTGTGATCAATGGGTAACGAAGAAGACGATGATTGTTTCTTTGATGCTCCTGAAGCAGTTGTATCATCATCGTCTCTCTCACAAGACTTTGGTTTACATCTCTGGACTCAGGATCCCGACAGTGTCTCCAATCGACGCCGTAAGTTTTTCCAAACTATGGGCTTTAGTCTCAAAAAGTCTGCAACTGAAGACGATTCCTTGGACTCTCATCAAGATGATGAAACCGAACCACCACTTAAGTCTCTGCTTTCTGGTGATGGAGTGAAAGAAGTTGATTTGTTGTTGAGGAATGAATCTACTACTTCGTCCTCTGGATTTGATCAATCCTTTGTTTCATCGTCTTCCGAGGACACGGATGATCAAACCTTGTTGTCTAGGAACGATTCCAGTAATGGCAGTAGTGTGCCTGAAGGATTGAGTGAGTCCGGTTCTAGTAAATCCGGTAGCTTTGGCGATTTTCACAACTCTCCATCGAGTCAAAGAGACGATTCGATTAAGAAAGGAGGCGCTAAATCTTGGTTAAAGAAGCTACGTGTTTTGACACATGTCCTTGACTCTATAGACTGCTGCGAATCAGTTGGATCGCCGTTGAAGCGAATTGCTCGAGTGCAGACGTATAAAAAACAGTTTAAAGAGCTCTCATCTCTGTGTAACGACCAAGAGTTTTCAGCGCATGATGGCCCCATCTTAGCCATGAAGTTTTCTCTTGATGGGAAATACATTGCGAGCGCTGGTGAAGACTGCGTTGTTCGAGTTTGGAGCATTACTGAGGAAGAGCGAACAGACAAGTACGAAGTGGCTGAGGTTGAGTCTGCTGTCTACTTTGGGATGAACCAACATTCACAGATTGAGCCTTTGAAGATTAACAATGAGAAAACAGAAAAGAAGACAACAGGTTTTTTGAGGAAATCGCCGGATTCAACTTGCGTTGTGTTACCTTCTACGATCTTTAGTATATCGGAGAAGCCCTTGCATGAGTTTGTAGGACATGTAGGTGAAATATTGGATCTTTCCTGGTCAGACAAAGGGGTAAATATATTCTCAAACTCTTCTTACATTATATTGTTGTCTTTGATCTTTTGTGGCTAACATTCTCCTCCTTTTCCTTGCAGTATCTCCTGTCATCATCTGTGGACGAGACTGTTCGTTTATGGAGAGTAGGTTCTGATGAATGCCTCAGAATTTTCTCTCATAAAAATTTTGGTGAGCTTCTTCCCTTTGGTACTTTCATTCATCTTCTTTGCTGTGTCTTCATTCACTAACTCTCTCTCTTTCTTACACAGTGACTTGTGTGGCATTCAACCCTGTGGATGATAATTACTTAATAAGCGGATCGATTGATGGGAAAGTTCGAATATGGGATGTGTCCCGTTCTCGGGTTGTTGACTACACAGATATAAGAGACATTGTAACTGCTGTGTGCTATTGTCCAGATGCAAAGGTACTTTGAAAGACTTTTGGCTGTTTAGTTTTCCTTCTTGTCATAATCAGTTGCTATAACTAGAATGTTTCCTTCATTTTTCAGGGTGTAGTTATAGGTTCCATGACAGGGATCTGTCGCTTCTACCATACGATTGGTACGCTTACATATTTAGATGTTGAAATCACCGTTAATCGTTAATTGGAGAGTTAGCTGATTGTTGATATTGTGCATTTCAGATAACCAGCTGCAACTAGACAGGGAGATCAACTTACATGGGAAGAAGAAGCTTCCAAGCAAAAGGATCACTGGTCTTCAGTTTTTTCCCAATGACTCGGACAAAGTAATGGTTACTTCTGCTGATTCACATGTTCGAATCGTATGCAGAGAGGACGTAATCTGCAAGCTTAAAGGTTAGGATCTGTTTATAATGATTGCTTTGTGATCCTCTTGCATTTGTTCTGCTTAAGAGTAAAGATGTAAACTTTCTTTGTTCTTGTGAATATTCCTTGCAGCTTCTAGCCTTCGCACAACATCTGCTTCACTTACTTTAGACGGGAAACACATTGTCTCAACAGCAGAGGACTCAGGCATTCATGTCTGGAATTACTCTCAATTACCTAGCAAGAAACCTTCTTCTGGAAAACCGAAAAGCATCCGGTCTTACGAGGGATTTCTCTCACACAATGCGTCTGTGGCTTTACCTTGGCTCAGAGAGGGAAGCAGGAACAGTCTGAGCGAATGCATCACAGATTTGGACAAGCAAACACCGAAAGTGGACTGTTTCTCTCCAATGAAAGGGTCAACAACTTGGCCTGAAGAGAAGCTGGATGAAGCTGCAATGAGTAGCAGAGGGAAGCTGAAGCTTCTGAGGAACGCGTATCAGCCTCACCTGTGGGGGCTTGTGGTCGTGACAGCGACTTGGGATGGAAGGATCAGAGTATTCCACAACTACGGTTTGCCAATTCGGGTCTAAAACACATACACAGGTTAATAGATAGGATTCTTTTATTTGTTTGAAGGGTACTTACTACTTAGGTTTAAATTGTGTATACACAACTAAAAAGCTGTCTTGTTCTCTGTCTTTTGGTAGTATGCAGTCTGGTTGTCTTGGTCTTAGCCCCTAAGTGGCAGTAGAATGTTTTTGAGGTTCTTTGAAGAATCATTTGTTGTAATTGTAACTACAGTAGCTCTTTATAATATACATAATTTATTAATGTAGAAATGATTTTGGTAAATTTTTATGTGACCATGCTTAATGTTAACTTACAAGGGATGATAACAATCAGATAATATAACCTTTAAACCTCTTGAGGCTAAGGCCACGAACCCCATTTCTGGTTTTGATCTGGGCGACACCACTCGGCATCTACTTGCTTCTCTTTGCTGCTGTCTTGTTGAGTCGAGCATGGCCATAAGTCCCCCCAAAAGGATTTCTTGGCCTGCAAATGAAGATCCGGGTTCTTGCTTTTCGTTATCACCCTCCTTTCAAATGCTCCCTCTGACCCGTCCTCTTTGGTCGGCACACACATGTCTAACGTCACTTGTTTCCCCTTGCGGAATGGAGGGAATATGATCCTTCCCCATCCGCCTCCCAAACTCGCC